TGAGAGAGATTGGTCTATAGTAATTTGCTTCGAATTTAGGTTAACCTGGTTTGTATATTGGCACTATGATTTACGAGTGCCATATTTGTGGGAATACCTTATTGATCCATATAAAATTGAAAAGTTGCAATAATAGTTCTTGGCCTAGTAGTGAGAAAAAAAACTGCTGTTAATAATTGTATATTGTGCATAAAATGTTTCATGTTCACTCTACATCTATGTTTCTGGCTTTCGGATAGATTTCAGTGCCTGCTTTGACTCTCTTTTGATTCGAAAACTTCCGTCATGGTATACTTAAACCTTTGATATACGTCATTACTACACCGTTGTAAATTTTACGAATATTATAAAAATCCATATTAAAGTTTTATTTTTATTACAAAAACAAAAATACTTTAAGTACCTCTTAGTTGACTAAATACCACCGAAAGTCGTAATAAAGTTCATTATTACGAGGCACATTTAGTCCAATAATTCCCACGATGTTGTCCGCATATTGCGTTACGACACTACACGCAATAGGTTTTGGTCATACCCCGTAGTTTCCTTAGGCAGTAAAATCAAACTTTACTTTTGGGTTCCTTTGAACTCTCGTCAAACATTGACAAATCAATGATTTTCAGCACGAGATGTTAAAATTTTCTTGATGCAGCTTTCCCGAGTAATACAGATCATAGTCGCAATAATTTTCAGTTGACTAGTTAATTCGCTGTGTATTGTGCAAATTAGTGGAATCATTATAACATTTTTCAATATTCACAGTTAGCAACACTGGCCACACGTTTACAACTGACCAAGCATTGAAAACATAACCTTACTTTATCTTACACCATTTCATATTGATCAGACCGTAAAACATCCAGTCAAAAAAATGTTTATAAGTCCATGTTGGAACAGCGTTTGGGACACAGACCTCCAAAAATATCAGCCCCAAGGAGGAGCGATTTTTTAACAGGACTCTGTTCCCTGTTACAAGTCAAAGCACATAATGTATATTTTTTTAAATAGGAAGAATAATCTTTTAGATTTGCCCGGTAATACGCCAGACCTTAACCCTATTTAAAAATTTATGGGCGATTTGCAAAATTAGACTGCGCAAATCGACTGTACTACAAAAATAAAAATAATAGCAGCGGTCATTCATCAGGGAAATGTCAGAAGCTCGTAGAATCTATGCCAAAACGGGTAAAAGCAGTAATTGCAGCCAAAGGGGGACATATTTCTTACTAAATGATGGAACCTTTAGAGTTTTGTCAAAATATAATTGTTTTCCAAATAAACTGTTTTTTCATTAAAACAGCCTATGATTCCATTAATTCGCACAGCACTGTATTATCTTCTGGTTTTCTTCTTCCCTAGTGTTGGAATTTTCCTCCATTGATATCTCGTTTTTGTATTAAGAAGCTCATTTGGAATTCAGTTTGGCTTATGTCCATAGTAATCACTATTATTTGTGAGAATGTCAATTCTTTCGTGTTAATTTAGTTCTATGTCCTTTTTTTGCTCTGATTGTTACTTTAAAATAGTGCAAGTTGTAATTTTTGTAAACTTAGTGGAAGAAAACCTAAAAATTCTGATTGCAAAAATATAATATGTAATTAAATTATACCAGAAAACTGTTAAAAACGAAGTCATTAATTTAATCGCATGTGTATGGCCTGCTAATGTTTATCGCAAATTAGACATAAAACTGCTTTGTGTACTTTTAAAATAATCTTGGGATGTTAACGAGCAGTACAATCGTTACAGTAAAGCCAAAAATATATTCGCCAAGAAAGTGGGCACAATACTTCCATTATCTCATTATTTAACTTAACAGGGCACTAAATTCCAAACTCAAACAACGATCGACTCATGAAATCAACTAATGACGAAACGGCGTTATCGAAAAGGGATATAAATTGGACATAACCTATCAAAGTGTCTGTAACCGAGGTTTTGAAATGTGTGGCGGATGTACAGACCCAATAAACTTGCTTCAAACTGGACAATGGATTTATGAGTGCAGGATGTTTGGCAACGGACCTTAAATCAGATTTATATTTAAATGCTTTTGCCAAATTTCAATTTGTCTGTTGGTTGTTTGTCGGTATAGTTATCGCTGATACAACATTTTTAGAATAAATTACTTCAAAATCAATGCTAATTTACAGAGTTCTGTGACAAACTTTTACAATGCAAAATAATCATCACTTAATACAACAATCTCTTTCTTCTTCTTCTCCCCAATACTATTTTCAAATACTTATTTCTAAAACTTTTAAAAATGTTAAATTGAAGGGCTTAATGTGAAACAATGACAAGCCTCAAATAAGTAAAAGTGAGATATTTGACTTTGAATGTTAAAAATAATATTAAAAACCCAGTAACAACTTTTGGTGTTTTAGTTTAGATATGTCGATGCATCATGCCATATGGAACTATAGTTACAACAATATTAATAAAATTACTCCAAACTTGAGAAAAAAACGATCTTTATTTAAAAAAAATGTGGCTTGTCACATTATTACATTAATAATATATACCCAAAATCTTATTTAATCAACGAGCTCGGCGACCTCATCAGCAACATCAGGACTGACATCCTCTCGTAAAATATTGTAGAAGGGATGATACACTGAAGGTATGTAGGGTAATAATGACCTCACATTTTCGATTTTCTTTTTTGCAATCCGAATGGGCTCAATATACTTCTGTTGTAAAGCAGATACAGTTAACACATTTGGACGTCCCTTCTTGACAACAGTAACGGGGTTGTAGGTACCATTCACAGAATGCTTAACGTAAAATGCTTTTGTGTTATCACTCTTGAATAAAAAGGAAAAACATTGGAAAAATCCAAAGGATGCTGGTCATCAGTGCGAGTACTCTTTTTAATGTTCTCTAAGAGTGGTTGTACATTGAGGAAATCTTCCTGCTTCATAACAGTTAAGTTGAAGGGATTCTTTTTATTAGATTCTTTTATAATTTTATGCCACTCCTCAGGAGAGTACACAAGCGGAGCATAATTTCTATGTCGTTTTTCTATAAGAGCAAAATCTCTCTCGGAAGGAAGGTGAGTGTGTCCGCTGACTAAAAAATGGTGTGTAATAGACTTAAACTTTTGTTCCTTCACTAGCTGGAACCATAAAGACATTAAAAGCCAGTTTTTGTTTTGCCCGGGACAATTATTCGTGAAGAAAACGAGATGTTCTACTTCACCTATCTTTGAGCTTACAAATTTTATGAGTATTGATGCAATTTCATCACTTCCTCTTTTTGCAATGTTTTCCGTCCAGACAAATATATCACCAGCGTCTTCCGTACAATCATGGATTCCTAGATTATACATCCAGATTTTCCTGCAATAAAATGCAGGACCAGTGGTTAATTTGGAAATCGGTAAGGCTTGCTGCAAGTCAAACATTGTTGCATTGCCTGAGCCTTACACTTGTGCAAGTTAAGTCTTGTTGTTAATTCGCTATATTCTTTTTTTTCTGATTTTGCTGACTCTATTTGTATATTAATTTCGTCGCATATCTTACAAGTGTCTGATTTTGGCAGCTTGAATCCAATATTATACTCTGTACAAAATATGTTACGGTAAGTATGCTCCTTAACTGGTTTAATTCCCTCTTCTGTACACAAAGGGACATATGGATCCGAATAGAGACTGGCTATACTCATGTTATGGTCCAGATAAACTTCTTGTCGACTGTAGTGACTTTGATACTTTGGAATCGAATGTATGTGGTTTTTAACACTTAGTAATTCCGAATCAAATATTTTGTTCACACGGTTTGTATGCTTTCCTCTGTTGTCTCTTTCTGGCACTAGATTTCCTTCTATCTTCTTGCGAACAATGTTATTTACTCTGCCCTTAGAAGCTTGAAGTCCATGGATATTTAAAAATTCTGTTTTACAGACACGTGTATTTTCACCATTAACATTAATGGAGTAGACTGCATTGCTCTTTCTATGCGATTCTTAATGTTTTTGCTTCTTTTGGTAGGACCTTTTCTTCTTAACAATATCTATACATCCGAATAAGTAGCTATTTTGTAACCCCCATGAACCAAGGTTCCAAAACTCGTAAAAGATATTGCTCGCGTGGCCCTGAAGCTTTTCCCTACACTTCTTAGTGCAACTGCAAGGCGGTCCCAATTCTCGACCAGGCACATTTATTTTGTTTTGTCGCTTACATATGGTTGTCCTAAATTTCGTCGAATTTTTCTTTTTGATCTTGAATAACAGTGTTCATTTCTTTGTCTCCATCGACTTGTTGGGGTTTTGTCGGGTGTGTTTGTTTTTGTCCTTTTTCTTGATGGACCTTTTTTATTATCCTACAACAAAATACAATAATATAACAAGCCATATCACAAGCCACAACAATAATACTTTAATCTTGAATGGTAATAATGTGACAAGCCACATTTAACAAAAAAAATTACATACCGCTGTATTTTCATCACTTGAGTCACTTCTAGATTGTACATAGTCAGGATCACGGTCACTGTCATCGAATGTCGACTGAACTTCAGTATTTTTCTCTCTAGAATCGTCAGAACTCACAGAAACATCCGCATCGCTTCCGCCCATATTCGCCATTTTGTTGTGGCTTGTCATTATGTCGAGTAGATACTAAGACAAACTAGATCTATGCAACACTGTTATCATAGGTTTGTCGCCCCATCTATTAACGAAGGGCTGAAATAAATTGTTGGTGGCTTGTTATACTATTACTTTAACCGAGCATAGCACTAACTCCTTTTAAACTCATGTGTGGCTTGTCATTGTTTCACATTAAGCCCTTCAATTCAATGTATATTTGGGTAACTGAAATAAGGCAGCTGTTTATATTTTTTAACGAAATTATATAGCAAATAGTACGTAAATTGAAAGTTATTGTAAGACTCAGAATAGTACTTTTGTGTGATTCAATCAAATACAAAAGAACTGATAAAGATATTAGAAAAATACACAACTTTGTATACATACATTAACTAATTTATTGTTTGTTTTCAGACTGTTTACACCTGCAGCTGTACAGAGACTCCAAAGACAGATACAAACAGGGCCAAACCAAAGCTTCCCTTTCGCTGGAACATTTTCTGGGATTGGAGAGTGGTTTTACTTTAGATAAGGAATCAAATACGGTAGCTATATTATGTCAAGATGTCGTCGTTGTTCTAGCATTTGACAATCGGGAAAGGCTTATGCAATGGCAGGTAAGAAGTTAAAAAGTTACAAAAAATTACATTTTTAATTTATGTACAAGTCACTTTTAAAATTAATTAATAACATAATATAGTTAGTAAAGAAAATACTAGTTTTTAAATAAATTTGGTAAATAATTTATTTACACTATACAACTAAATGTATCCAACCATACTGGATAACTCCAGTATCATCTGCGATATGCTTACCCACTTATATAAAATGCATAAATACTATAAAGGGAGACCAAATGCTGATGCAGATAAGCTTACTTTCAGAAATCAACAAGATTATGGAAAGAGTCATACTTAGCATACTCTAGGCAGAAACAAATTGGTTAGGAATAATTCCAGAAGCTCAATTTGGTTTCAAAGACGACCACTTCAGCGAGCTACAAGTACATAGACTAACAGAGTACGTAGCAGCCGGTTTAATGATAGACATTGCAAAGGAGCAATCTTCCTAAGCGTAAGCAAAGCTTTTGATAGTGTCTGGCAAAAAGAATTAACATATAAAATCAAATGCAATGTATACAGTGGGGCCATGATGAGATAACCATAAATCGATTTATGGTTTTTTGGCTAGAAGTCCGTCAGATTTTTTCTAAAATCAAATAAAGGTTGAATTTGAGGAAGATATGAATAAGATGTTTTAAATTGATATAACTGCTATCACGTTAAATAATATGGCAACGGTGCATGCTAAAAATTTTTAAGTCGATGAAAACTTAACAGATACCCCCAATTCTAACTTAAACAGTAAAGCCATGTTTAGGGAGCCACTGGATAAGCAACACATTAAAGAAATCGACTTGAAAGGCATAAATGCTAGAGTAGACAAAATACATGTAGATGGGTTATCAAAAACGAAAAATGATTATAGAAGATTGTATTAAGGTAACTATTAAAACATTGTGTATTTTTTAGGTAAAATTAAGTTCCCACCTGAACGACGGTCCTCATTTCTTAGTCCTAGTGTCTTCCGCACCACCAAAGTCCAGATTGCCTCCGGGTCCTGCTCGGTTGCACGTTCAAGAAAGAGGATTCTGCCTAACTACGGGAGTTCCGCCCAGAGTGGCTGGTCAGTGGCTTATTAGTAATTTAAGGAGATATGGGGTAGTCGAAGGGCGGTTCTGCTTCGAAGGGGGTTCAAGGTGTATAAAGGGTGAAGGGTTGTACGTACTGCTTACCGATCAGGGAGAAGAGATCACGACTACTTTAAAAGCGGCGTCTGTAGGAAATTTGCATTCTTCAAGGAGGAGGCCTGTTTCAAGAAATATGTCAGGTAAGTTGAATCAAGTATCATTATCATAATCCGGTATGTGGTAGTCATAATTGGTACTCTATTTATGGTAGAACTCTATGGCTGAAGACTTCTGTATCATTTGTAAATCCCTGATTCATAATATTTGCATGTTAATTCTTATACTACACACAAGTCTCACATTTTATTCTACTCTTTTGAGGCTAAATAATAAGATTTTGCCACAGATCATGCCAATATTACTCGTGTTTACCGACATATTCGGTGTAATTATCTACCGCCAGCATTTAGTTGGTCCTCATCTCATATTCATTTTATGAAATATCTATGGGTTGAAAAAAAAATTAGTTGATTTGTAATTTGGATTTTTTCTGAAATATCATAAATATTATAAATGAAACCATAATCTATAAACTCAGTCCTTATACAATCCAATAACGATAATCATTAAGCATGAAAAAAAAATAGAATATATGTAGGTTTTGTTATTTCATTGCTATTGTAGTGGTAACAAGTACCTTGTACTACTGCTTACTGTCCATAGTAAACATATTCCTCTAAGTTTAGGTTTGTTTCTTTGATAGTTTTTTGAAATATCTATTTTTCTATTTTCTATTTCTATTTCTAATTTTTATAGATTCTTTTTATGTTTAGTAATTTATGTTACCACTATAACTCACGACTATAACATAAACGGCAAAAACGCACACGAATGCAGAAAGGTAACAGAGGCTTCTCTCTATCTCTCTCTCTCTATCTCTCTTTCTCTCTCTCTCTCTCTCTCTCTCTCTCCAAATCGAGCCTTAACTTCCTTCAAACTATGCCTACAACCTACGTGCCGCTTCCACGCCGATCTTTTCCAGGAACTCACAGGCTAGCAAATTTTGCGCATTTACTGCCACTTCATACATACTGAAGTCAAAGATACTGTCGAGATATCAGAGATCCAATTATACACTGATTATATATATTATATACTGATTAGACCGGTCGTAACATATGGCTCAGAATCCCAGACTATAACAAAACAAAACAAACTATTTTTAAGGCGTTTTGATCGCAAAATACTACGAAAAATAAAAGATTCGACAGCTAATAGAATCACCTGACACGATCGAGATAAAACAAAAACTGGAAACAGTAGGTCTTCTGCTCACATTCTCTTCAGTCTTCATTTGGCAAGTGGTTGAGTGAATAAATTATTTATTAGTTCGCTTTTGTGGTCAGTGGAGCGATTTTTATATTTTATTGAATGATCCTTTATTACGTCCTTGATTAGTGAGATCTCCAGATCATTGAGAAATGTTAGGTTTAATTCATACTATGGAGCTTTACTTATCACACGGAGTATTTTAAAATGGAATGTTTGAAGTATCTTCGTATTTGAACGTTATCAAATACGAAGATACTTCAAACATTCCAATACAAAATACTCCGTGTGATAAGTAAAGTTATATTTACATATACCAGAACTGGTATGAGTATAGCTTTGTACAGAAGCAATTTATTATCAAGAGAGAACTGAGACCTTTTGTTAAGTGACAAGTTAGTAGTTTTTAAGTAAAGATCTAGTTGTTTCCGTTTAGTTTTAATGTGCCTTTTCCATGTGAGTTTTTTTATCTAGATGCAATTCCTAGTATTTGTTAACCGGTTAAGGAAAATCGGGGTGTTATTTATAGAAATTTGTGGATATGGGCAGATTTTATATTATTAGCAGCGGTATTATTTATAGAAATTTGTGAATATGGGCAGATATTGTTGTTATTAAAGTAATTTGTACTGATATGTTGGCATAAACATATATCTTTCATCGCTTAAGCCAGTTTTGTAATTGGTCTAAATGATTTTATACTTAGCTAAGAAGGTATAATTATTGCTGGTTGGAACGTTTGCTGTAAATATCAGATACAGAAATGGACCAATAACGCTACCCTGAGGTACATCAGATTGTATGTGCGAATAAGGAGTTCTCCTTAGCGAACTTTGCTGGTTCGGAGAAAGATTTTTCTTATCGCACAAAGCTTCTGAGGTACTCCTTAACTTCGAAGGACCAGCTGGAGAATCCAGCACCTGAAAGGTTGTTCCCTTGACAAGGGATAGGTGTAAATATTAAATATGTAAAGACTTAAAATGTATCTTTATTACAAGAAGAAAATAGCCTACAGCACTGTAGAAAATAGCGTTTAATAAATATAGAAAATAAGTTTATTGTTCATGGATAAAAGTAAATGTTTAACTTGTATAACTTGGATAACATGTAAATTGAAATCGTTGTTGGATCGGAAATCGTTTATGCACTCGCGGCACGTTATGGCAACACCGCGACTTGAAACAATAATTGAAAAGTTGAGAGTAAATATGTTTGCTACTTACAATAAGCACGGCATCTAACTCTTTTTACCCCAATCACTCACTGACAACAGTACTGGCCACAAAAACTATATAATAGGAAAATAAGGAAATAATGAATACTTGAGAAGTGAACTTGACGGGTCGCAAGCTCTTGGATTTTTTTGGGACTAGTCCAAGTTTAGATATAAGGGGAGTTTTTATATGAAAATATAAGATTTTTACAATGTACAAATTGATGGTAAATTTGTACATTGTATGATGTGATCATTTGGGTAGCCGTCTTCAATTTTAACTTGGAAATATCGATCAGTAAGCTACGATTTTAGAATAAAATATACTTAATCTGTTAAGTACAATTTCAGTTTCTAGATGAGATCTTTATGCCATACTCTGTCAAATGCTTGTTGTATATCGAGAAACACACCAGCGCAAATATTTTTCTCTTCGAGAGTTATTTTAATTATATTTAAGAATATATAGCATTGTTGAGTGGTTGAGTGTTCAGGTCTAAATCCGAAGTAGTTTCGACATTATTGGTAGTTGGCAGTTTATCGGGCTATATGAATTTTCTTGAAAAAATTTACCACTTCTACCCCCGGGTTCCTCCTAAAATCGGGTCGTAGGGGGTAAAAACATGAAAAAATCGATTTATCAAGACTCTGTACACCGTAGAAAAAAATGTTTAAAATAAAAAATGTAGCTAAAAGATAATTCTAACCAAACATGTTGATAAGCATTTTTTGTGTAGAATGAACCGTTCTCGTAGAAACAATGCTTGAAACAACTCTCGATCTTGCATGTCAGTTACGCACTCGAAATCAGTGTTCAATAAAATATCGAATTTTTACCGTCGAGCTAAATAAATTTTATTGAACATTGATTTCGCGCGCGCAACTGACATTCAAAATCACCGGTCGCTTCAAGCGTTATTTCTGAGAGAACGGTTCATTCTACACAAAAAGTGCTAATAAACATTTTTGTTTAAAACTCTCTCAGCTACATTTTTTATTTGAAACATTTTTCCTACGGTATACAGATTCTGTAAAAATCGATTATTTTGCGTTTTTCTGCGAGGGGGATTTTAGGGATAAGCCTGGGGGTAAAAGAGGTAATCTTTTTGGGGTTCCAAAATTAATATTCTCGGCAAAAATTCAGCTTGTTCGTATGATTGTGGCATTTTCGTCTCTTACGACTAGAGTAATACTAATTATTAGCTCTCCAAATCATTGTATTGTTTATTATGAGTTTAGTTATTTATTTAGGTAGTATATAGTTTTGTCTAAGCCCAGATTAGATTTGGATGCTATATATCTATCGTAAAAAGTTTTAAAGAATATTTATACTTGCATATCTTATTGCATATATTATGGGTTTTATATTTAATTGCTAATTAAACGTCATGTTTTAGTGATGGACAGTCCTCGTCGAGGACCGATGCGCGCAACAGGAGGAATAGGATTAGAATTAAGCGAATCGTCCCTTATTTCACGGGCGGATTCTCCTTACACCGATATGGAGAGCAATTATGGCTGTGGTGATAGTATATCAAATGATGGTTGGGGACCCCCGCCTATAGAAAGATGCATGAGTTGTATCAGCAAACTCGGTGCGATGTCCAGGTAAGTATTAACGAGATTATGTTTCGGTAACAGTTTTGATATCGGGAAATAGAGATTTTTTTAATTGCTAATAAAACAGAAAAACTAACATTTTTTATTCCATGGTTCTTAACACCACTTAATAGGGTTCAATTAAAAGTAAATCTGGATAGAAATCAGTACTATAGAGATAGAACTTAAGAAAAATAATAAGAACACCATAAGCTGAACAAATGAATAAAAGTGTCACAATAATTATACAACCTCTTGTTTTTTTTTAAGTCATGGTCATGGATAAAATCAACATTGGGTAAAAACAAAACCAGGAGTAATAGTTTGTGAAGACTATAGAACCATAAGCCTAATTAGTCATCCACAAAAGAATTTACCGAAAATGCAAGGAACAAATTGCGCCCAATCAGTTAGGATTTGTGAACACCGTTTGTACGAATGATGCTTTATTTATCGTGCAGATATTGTTTCAGAAATGTAAAGATGTCAGCTGTGATGTTTTTGCTGGCCTGATTGACTACAAGAAGGCTTTAGATAATCAGGCATAAACAAATGATGGAAGTGCTGAAGAGGGATTGACGAAAGAGACCTAAAAATAATAACTAACCTGTATTGAATTCAATTAGTGGTGCTCCGAATAGATGGAGAATATACAGATTAGGTCAAAGTCTTGGAAGAGTGAGACAGGGCTGCATCATTTTAACACTAATATTTAATCTGTACTCGGAGCACATTTTTGAAGAGGCTTTAAAAGATATCGATGATGACATCTCAATAAATGGAGTCAAGCTGAATAACCTACCGTAAGCTGCAGTACTTGGGACATATAATAAGAAATCAAGACAGATATGAGCTACTCCAATGCATTTTGCAAGGTAAAATTGAAGTAAAAAAGGGCCCCAGGACAAAGAAGAATATCCTGGCTTGCTAATCTGAGAGCATGTTATAGTAAGACCTTAACACAGCTATTTCGTATAGCAACCAACAAAGGCATCATAGCCAGAATGATCACCAACGTTCGGAACGGGCAGGCACCCTACGAAGAAGATATGTGTTAATTTCCTCTTATATATATAATATATATATATATTTATATATATATATATATATATATATATATATATATATAGAATAATTTGATAAATATATATATATATATATATATATATATATATATTATATATGTTTTTTAAATGTCTCAAGATAGTTGGTCTGAAATCTTGGTAGTATTTAATGAACGAACTGGGTATTAGGTTTGACCAAATGCTAAAAACAGTTACCCGGATGAGTCAAGAAAAAATAATTTAGAATAATAACCAAGGTATTCTCCTACCCTTTTTAAACGGCTCAGGAGCTAGAGATAAACAATGGGAAGAACTATTGACATAAATTACTGAAATAATGAAATAAGATATAAAATAAAACTATTTAGTTTGTCCCTAAAAACACCTGATCAAAACATTCAAACACTTATACCTAACCACTTACTACGATTTTTCCCCTTTGTTTCTCTCTCCACACATTTTGGCACGGTCACCAATCCTTGTTATACAAATTTAAATTTTCACAAAAAACATGTGCCAGTAATAATAATGTCATATCGCGTGGAGGTCAAACTACATATTAAAAACGAAGGAATTATGCAACAAGCAAGCTAAACAATGTCTGTCACTAAACGATTGCTGTTAAGAAAGTTAACCAATAAATGCTACTACTACCTGAAAAGCTTAAGACGTTTTCATTAAAAAGTTTCAAAGGGAGTTTGGAAAATCGTGAACGATATTTTCTGGAAAGGTGGGAAAGGAACTTTATACTAAAGTAATGACAATAAATAAATTAGAAGGGTATTGCTTTATTTAAAAAAGCCTCTTTGATAACACCAAGAAGATAAAGAGCTATGGGCGTACGTTTTTTTCTCTTATATTGTAGAAACTAGAAAAATAAAACAAATCATGAAGTGAACAAAAGAGTAACTTAAAATATTTGTTTAAAAACTTTTACATTATTTTATTTATGATATCAGTATGGCCCATATGGTTGGTTTCTCAGGTTTTTTTTCAGTTTTCGTAACGCTTCATGTGTAAAATTTTAATGGATACCCTTTCGTGTATTATTAATTCAAGTCGAAAAATAAAAAATAATTAATTAATATTCTATTTAATTTTAGGTCCTCGACTGCAACCGTAACAATGGGAGCTCCGCCATGTTGGGAGCATACTTGTGATCGCCATTCAATCAGCAGCAGCTCAGATAGCAGCGGATGGAGTCAAGCAGTTACCAAACCACCAGCTAGACCACCAAAGCCTGGAGTAACATCACCTTCGGCAAAGAAGCCTGCTGCTCTACTTCCTCAACCGTCCTATGATAACTACGACATTCCTAAGATACCCTTTCCAGTGGTAGGTTTATTTGCAAATATTGCTTTGTTTCATTGGACATATCACATCACAGACATTGGAAACATAACGATATTATTTGAATAAATAAGATACCATTATCCCGTTTTTTGTATCTTTTAAGTTTACAAAACATAATTTCCTGTTGTTGAACTGTTTGTAGCTAATAATTTTTTTATTGTACTGTAGCCAAATGGTCGTCTTGCAACTAAGTTTTAGATTCTGTATGTTGAGAAATTATTAACATGTTACCAAATAAAGTCAGCTTCATTTCGTTTCCAAAGAATTGCTTTCATAATATATCTGAAACTTTTATAATATATCTAATAAATTATATCTGCACGACGATTGGTATTTCTTCAAATAAAATTTCCATCCCGTCAGGAATCAAACTGACTCTCAGCATGTGGAACTAACTACTGCGTTAACAAGGCATTAAGTTATATTTTACATTATAACCTGTTTTAAATTGACATTTTATTCAATTAGTATCAAAAATATTCTTTTTCTGTTTCTATTTCTTTATGCTTTTTCTCTTCACTCTATTTATCTTGCATTCTCAGTCAAAAGACATTTTCTTTATGACACAAAACTGGCGGTACTGTCGTAACACTGCTCCCTCCTCTATAATTATTCGTCTGAAGTAACTGGTCTATCAGGGATCGATCGAAGCCAATAAGGTGGATCAGTTCCATGGTATGGAGCCAATCTCTCGGTATAAACTACCTTGAGTTGACGTCTAGCTGAAAACTGGATACGGTGGATTAGATTTTATTTTCTGCAAGACAGTGTACGGTCCTTCCCAGTTGCGTTGAAATTTTGGACAAAGTCCTTTCTTACGTGTATTACCATACTTGGTCACCCCTTTCAAAAGTTGTACCTGTAGCATGCATGTAGACCCTGGCCTTTACTTTTTTACTTTAAATGATATCTTGAGGAAGCTTCATTTTTTTCCGGTAATCATCATCAATAGATGATTAAATTAGCCTAATCCTTTTCATTGTCAACGACACATATTGAAAGGTATTGACAAACAGTAATACTATGTCTTGCCACCATTTCGTTTGATTAGGATGTGATTTTAAATACAACTAATATTAATTACTATTTAAAGGGGAATAAGCCACAATTAAAGGTTAAAGTAAGTTTATTGACGTTTCAATTTCCACTTCAGAAATCGTTCTCAAAATACAAACATTCCCATTTAAATAGTAATTACTTTAAAAAGCCACAAGAAAATCGCTGTAGAACAATACAACTATTATTGTGGCTTAATGCCATATAAAGATAATATTTAAATTGTACATGCAACAAAAAAGTAGATTCAGAACCTTGCTAAGTTGTGTTGTTTAAAATGGTAACTTCTATTGTATTAACGTTGTATAAAGATAATAGTTTGCAATGAAGGAAAAAATCTGTTTCTATTGGAATCCATATTGCTATGGATTTGATCCAAAATTACGTTGTTTACATATTTTTTTACCAAAATATTCGATATTCTTTTTCCACCAGCAATCGACACCTTAACTATACTATATTATTCTCCTGTTTAGATTATTTGTAATACTGGTATTTTTTTTGCAGGAACCCAAAGCTGATGAGCATTACGATACTCCTCGTAAACTTAAGGAATGTATTCAAGGATTTGGTTTTGATACCGTTCACAAACCATGTGGTTGTGTAGTAAGAATTCGCCAGCCAGAACCAGAGCGACCTTGCGTTTGTCAACGTCTAATGTCTTGCTGGTCAGGCACCGAAGATGTCCATGCCATATATGCCACCGTCGATTACTCAAAGAAAACACACCGCCAGCAACCAGTTGCCACTGCAGCAAATTATGCCAATTTAGCCCCAATTCCTACGGTTACTACAACGACTGCCCCAACATCTACCAATTACGAAAATATGGAATTTGCTCAAACACTTCAATTATACGAGAATAGCAAAGACATCGCCGAGAAGGCAAGAACACTGTGCACAAAATGTGGACATGCTCAAGAAGACTACCTCATGATGGAGCCATCCAATAAACCATCGCAGCCTCATCCAGGATACATACCAATGTCTCCTGCTGTCAAACAACGCTTAGGAAAAGTGCTTTCAAACAGCAACCCAAATCTTGGCCCTGCTTTAGATCGTTCCATGAAACCATCTGGTTCTTCCATGTTACAAGGTACCATCTATCAACGAAAGCAGATTTTAGACAATGCTGATAACTTGGATATTCGAAGAAGAAGATCGAACTCCGCAGATTCTTCTACAAGTCGCTATGAACCAGAGCCAGAGCCTGAAACATCACCATGTCACTGTACCCATGCCATAGCCGTAAGACGATCATCTTCAGTTCCTTGCAAATCCAATCGTGACTCCTCTAGCTCAAACGATTCAGGGGTATTTGAACTTCCCAGAAAGCCTCAAATTTGCGCCAATCAAACTCTTCCAAGACGTTCCAAGTCATCCGATCCTCTTAGAGATTTAACGTTTCAGTTTACCAAAACAGAAACTAAATCTGCTAGTGCTGAAGCTGAGGTGCCAGTATGTCCTAACGGCTCTACTAGCAGTGGGACGTCTGATATGTCCGACTACTTTGAAACATTGTCTTTGTCGTCCCACAGCTCCAGTGATGCGCCTCCTCCAAGTTGCACTTTGAGGCCGAGATCCGGAAACGAATATTTGAGTATGCAGAGACTTATTGCTCCTGTTCCCGAGGAGCGACATTAAACTAGTCTATTTAGAAGCAATAAAAATGGATAGTTTCTAGTACAATATACATATTACTAATATTATAATTATGTCTGTAATCTTTTTCTGTATAAAGGTATTTACTTTATAAATAAATTATTCATCAATTAGCTAGTGTTGAATTATTATGTAAGTAGAGCAAGCTAAAGCTTCTGAGGATTTTAAGTAAAAAAATCAAGTCTCTTGTCTTGATGAACCATCAGAAACACAATGAAGATAAAAAAATTGCATACAAAAAAACAAATTAGCCTTACAGGACTGTACCAGCAGCGACTAAAAACTTAATATATAGAAAAGATGTGATAGAAGCATATTTAACCATCAGAATACAAGATACGACAACACACTATAACAACAAAACACCTAATGTATAGACTTAATGTAAAAGAATTGATCACTGCAAAAGAAAAACCATAAGGAAATTATAAAGCTATGTACTAAAGACAGACTTTTCCTTATCCAACCCCTATTCTTCTACGTCCTCTATTTAATTATTAATTAAATGGAAACAAACAGATAGTAAAGATAAAGATTAATAAAGAAAGGATGTAGAAAACTAGTCTTTATTGAGGCAAAAAATTACAATAACTAATATAAAACTATATTTAGCATGCATAAAATTTATAATGGCCTACATAAGGAAAAAGAATCATCAATTAGTAGCCTATATTTCTCCACTGCTGAATGTAAGCCGTTCGTAAAATTCCATTAGGAAACTAAGTTCCTGTAGCTGGCTGTATACCATATATCACAAAAAATTGTTTAAAATCCTTTATAAAAGATATATAAAAAATGCCCCAAACGGGCTATCCCAAACACATTGCAAAACGTTTTTGGATTGATAAATCTATCATCAGGGCAAACGGTTGTACATGCTAGTAGCCACCAAAATATATGGGTCAAAACCCTTTAAATGTTTGAAATTTGTAGTTTTTTTACATTATTAATAGTTATAATTTGTGATGTTTAAGTTACCGTTGGATAGGTAACATGGCGGCGTATGACTCTACATAAGTAAAATGGTCCTGAGACGAAGGTCCTCCTAGACACTGCGTCTCAGGACCATTTTACTTATGTAGAGTCATACGTCGCCATGTTACCTATCCAACGGTAACTTAAACATCACAAATTATAACTATTTGTAATGAAAAACAACTACAAATTTAAAACATTTAAAGGGTTTTGACCCATATATTTTGGTGGCTACTAGCATGTACAACCGTTTGCCCTGATGATAGATTTATCAATCCAAAAACGTTTTGCAATGTGTTCGTAAAATGTTCTACCTATTTTAATCTTAAGCTTCTTGCATTCAATTTGTGGTGAGTCCTTTTATATCATCGGTCTATCTAGTTGGTGGTCGTATCTGTTTCGATATGCCTCTTTTTATTGTCGACATTCCAGAATCTTTCATCCATGGTCCATCTATCATCTGTAAATCTGGCAACTTGTCCGACCAAAGCCATGGCTATTTTTTCAACTGTATCCGTAAGTCCTGTTCTTTTTCTTATTTTTAGGTTCGGTAGCTTATTTATCTCTAATGGTAATCATTCACATTGATTTTTCCATAGCGTGTTATGTAACTCTAATTTTATTTATTGTTCCTTTTGATAGAGAGTATTTCTGCACCATATGTAAATACCGTAGATACCTGTAGATATGTGTAACCTATTTCTTTGTCGATACTATGAACGGCTTTCCAATTTGATTCATATCGTTGACTACAAGGTTAGTCATACATTTTGTCTTTGAGGTTAATTTTAAGACAAATTGTTTTGGATGCTTACTAGAGCGTTTCCAGCATTTTGTAACTTTATCAACTCTAACAGACACTGTAACAATGTCATGGACAAATCTTAGGTAGTTCAGATCCTCTTCATATACAATAATTCTTATATTATCCTCCCGTAACATTTATTTATTTATTTATTTCAACGGTCGAACCATTTAAAATAAAATACAACAAATAGAAAAATGTAAAGATCATGCACAATAAACATCAAAACAATAACAAAGAAACAATTAAACAGTAAAAATTTGTACATTAAAACAGTCTATCAAATCACAAAAGTTCAAAAATATCACAGATATAAATTAATAATAAGACTCTTAAGTTGCCTTTTGAAAACATTAATGATTGGACAGAGTGAAACCAATAGGAGACAAGGGAATATAACAAGCATAATCAGTCCTATGAAAAGGAATATAAAAGAGTGCAGTGTGTCGAGTTCTATATGGATTGTGTTTAAGTACACATTTTCTAATAACGTGGAACAATTAATATCGTGGTTTAGAATTTTAAACAAAAATAAAATATCAGATCTTAACCTGCAACCTGCAAGAGTGTAGCAATGTTAAATTATTATGTTCAAAGACATTATTCCAGGATAATCTATGAAATAATTTTCTTCTTATATTAATATGTGCTTAAGCTAAAGATCTTAGAAACTTTTACTGAACGCTCTCCAATCCATCAATGTAGACTTGATGAAATGGGAACCAAACAACAAAGCAATATATATGCTATATATGTTATAATAAATAAAACCAAGATTACGAAATCCTGTTCCCTTTATTGTAAGAAAACGGCTTCTAAATGTCAATGCACAATCCAATAATACACTCAAATCTCTAATCTCAGTAACAGAATTTAAGAGTACATCATTAAAAGCATATCTATTACCTATTAGATTATTTATACGACCAAATGAAATACAAGAACATTTATTTGGATTTAGGATTAAACCATTTTGTTTTGACCATAAACATATATTATTTACATATTCTTTCAAGAGATCTCTATCCGATTTATCATGTATACAACGAAATAACTTAAGATCATCAGCAAATTTCAGAAAGTGTGAGAACAAGTTAAAAAACAAGAGACCACAATGAGACCCTTGTGGGACACCAGAATAACAATGGAATTCTTTTGAAATATAATTGTTAATACGAACTTGCTGTGTACGTACCATCAGAAAACTTTTAATCCAATTAACAATGGGGTTACCAAAGCGAGATGCATGAAGTTTGTGGACCAAAAGGTTATGATTAACCTGGCCAAAAACCTTTGAAAAATCAGTGTAAATGCTGTCGACCTGAATTTTATACTCAAATGCTTCCAGGTTGATTCCCCAATTGAAAAGGTTTCTTACTGTTGACTTTCGGTTGGAAAATCCATGTTGTCTATCAAAAATTATGTTTCGGCAATCCCAGGTGAGATTTTTCGATACCAATTTATCAAGAAGTTTCTGAATTGCTGATTGAATAGTTATACCTCTATAATTGTTAATACACTCACAATTCAAGATTTATAAGAAAACTATTTTTCCAATATTGTGGAAATACAGATGATGACAATGAGAAATTGAAAATTTGTTAAGGTACAAAGGGGAACAATACAGTTCTTAATAAGTGCAATAGGCATACCATCAGGCCCTGAGGAATATGTAGTTTTGAAACTTATAGTCCCCTCGAAAATATTAATCAAACTAAACTTCAGAATATGGAAATCAACACTATAGTCCAATTGAAAATTAGGTAAATTATACTCTCTATCATTATATATACCTGACGAATAACTGGAAAATAGATTGACTATTTCATTACCATTCTGAGCTATTACATCCCAACCTTTATTAGACATTACATTAGAAAAAAGCATTAGACCCACGTGTAGCACAAACATACCTCTAAAAAGAGCGGGAATTACTTGAAAGATTTGCTTGAATATTCCGTAAATTGTTCTTACAACATACTGCTTGTTTTGCTGTACAACATACAACTGTACATGCACAGATTAGGTAGGTATATTGCTTTGCCAGGTCCAGGTTAAATTTCGTATTAGGTGTTTATTGTGTTGCCTATATCAGGGCGTATAACCTGGAAACTTTCTTTCGCGTATTTTGTCTAAATTATTCCTCTGTTCTATTTTCAATACAAAGCTTCCTTGTATATTCGTTAAATATCTAGTTTTTTATGTTTGCATAAACAAGCAGCTTCCTTGTCTTTTTTATGTAGTTAAAATGAATCATGTTTATATTCTACCTCTCTAAGAAAAATCTCTGAAATTGTTTTTTTAACATTTACACTCTCAGAAGAATTTGTAGGAGCATGGGTTGTCCTTGCAGCAAACTATCCAAATTAGTTTTAGACATAATACAACCATTGACACACTATACGAACACTTTTGTAAAGGACATATATTTAATACTATGCTAGTTATGTTTGACATCACCAACCTATTCACTAATTTGTCTATGGAAAAAAACCTTTCAAACAATACCACCAAATTAGATAAGAGCGTTGACAACTAAAAAAAAACTGAACGTATCAGCTAAAACATTTTCAATTAGACAAAGCTTTTTATAAATAGGACTTAAGATTAGCCGTGGGCTCTTTATTGTCTCCATTCTTAGCAGATATATTTATGAGAGAATTGTCTATACAGGAATAAGAAAAATGAAATAATGAGATAAATATTGTCTATAATCTATTTGGATGACTAAAAACCCACAGTATAGTTTAGATAATTAATCAAATTCAGCATAGAAAAGGAAGTCACTTCCATTGCTGGATGTGCTAATCACACAGGGGGATATACATAGGTTATGTAAATAAAGTTATCTAAACTAACAAACCTACCAAACTTATTTAACCACTTATACCAGCAACGTATACCAAGAGTAACTTAAATTTTTATTTCAACTACAACACTAATATCAAAAAGCGAACCATGAAATCACTCTAAAATAGAGTCCAAAACGCCTGCGCCACCGAAAATGCTCTTCAGGAAAAGACAACCTGTTAACAACTATTTTAATAAATTATTGTCCATTGTCATTAGTAAACAAGAAATTCAAAAAAGAAACAATAAAACATAATACAGTAATACTCACAAGAAGGATTTGAAGAGAATAACACTATATAAAAAAAAACAGACAAATTCAAATCGTTAGGAAAAAAATACCACATCACATTTAAAACAGCCAACACACTGAAATTTATTCTTTCAGGAAAACCAAACTTCACAACATACAGGAAAAATAAAAAACTGTAGGTATTGGTAAAATACCTACAGTTGGTAAATACCTTGATACCTTATAAAAATGCGAACATTTTTATAAGGGAGTAATTCTTAAAAAACCTGTACTGGAACCAAAACGCCAGAGTTAGGATCGAAGGTTCCACATCCGCAGAAGTAGAAATTAGGAGGAGAGTTAGACAAGGATGTGTTCTGTCGCCTCTGCTGTTTAATCTTTACTCCGAGTTTCTATTTAAAGAAGCATTGGAGGATTCCAAGGATGGAGTCAATGTGAATGGCGTAAATATCAACAGTATCAGATACGCCGATGATTAAGTGTTAATTGCGGATTCCAACTTAGGTCTACAACGACTCATCGACAAGACTAACTCGACCTGTGAGCAATTTGGTATGAAAATAAACATTAAAAAAACCAAAGTGATGTCAATCCGAAAAAACCAAAACGTACCTCAACCTTGCACAATAAATGGCCACATTTTAGAACATGTCAATAGATTTAAGTACCTGGGATATGTTGGATCAATAGCAGCCTAAATCCTGATCTAGAAATAAGATCGAGAATAGAACAGCCAGAAAATCTTTCGAAAAAATAAAAAAACTGCTTTGTGATTCTCGAATAAAACTCGAAATTCGACTACGTTTATCAAAATGCTACGTCTGGTCGACTCTTCTATATGCAGTTTAAACGTGGACCCTTAAAACATCAACCGTAAATAAAGTGGAGGCCTTTGAAATGTGGATCTACCGGAGAATACTCAAAATTTCATGGACATCGCATACCTCAAACGAAGAAGTGCTGCATAGAATAGGCAAGGAAAAGAACTTTTTAACACAGTAAAAGTTAGAAAAACATCATACCTAGGCCACAGACTAAGAAATAATAAGTACCAATATGCCCAACTTATAGTGAAAGGAAAAATCGAGGGAAAGAGAGGCCTATGAAGGAAAAGACTATACTTACTTACTCCATGGCGTTACAACCTTCGTGGGTTTTAGCCGACTCGACAACATGCCTCCACTGTTTTCTGTCTTGAGCAACCTCCATCCAATTCTCCACGCCCATAGTGCTTAGGTCTCCTGCTATATATCTCGCCACCGGAGACGAGGGCGTCCGCGTGGTCTCCTTCCAGTTGGGACTTCCTGCCACACCAGTCTTACTGTTCGTTCGTCAGAATGTCTTCTGAGGTGTCCTGCCCATTGGAGTCTTCTGGACTTTATTTCTTTTATGATGTTGGCGTCTGGGTAAAGTTCTTCAAGCTCTTTATTAGTTCTTATCCTATATTGTCCTGATGTTTCATCAAGCACCGGACCAAAGATCTTCCTTAGGATTTTTCTTTCCCAAACACGTAGTCTCTCTTCATTTGCCTTTGTCATCGTCCACGTTTCGCTTCCATACATCACAACGGGTCGTATGATTGTTTTATAGACCTGTATCTTCGTACGTCGTGTTAGTTGTTTTGATTTTATAAGGTTTTGGAGGGCAAAAATACATCTGTTGCCGGCCTGAATCCTGTTGTTTATTTCTTGTGATCCGTTATTGTCTTCAGTTATTGTTGTTCCAAGATACTTGAATTCCCTAACGCGCTCAAAGTTAAAGTCATCGATGGTAATGTTCTGACCGATTCTGTTTCTGCTTTGGTTATTGCGGCTCATATACATATATTTCGTCTTGTTTTCGTTGATTTGGAGCCCCATCTTCTCTGCTTCCTTCTCAAACCTTACGAAAGTCTCCTTCATCCTTAATCGCGTGTTTCCTATTAGATCTATATCGTCTGCAAATGCCAGTAGTAAGTTTGGTCCTTCTCGATGAAATACTGTATTCGTTTTTCGATTCTTGCACTTCTGATTATGTGCTCCAGAGCTAAGTTGAAGAGTTGTGGTGAAAGTGCATCTCCCTGTTTTAGTCCATTGTTTATTTCAAATGTCTCCGAGTATTGTTGTTTTTTAACTCTCACCTTACATCGTAACCGTTCCATACACATCCGTATCAACCGGACTAGTTTTTTTGGAAAGCCAAGTTCCTGCATCGCTGTCCACAGTCTGTCCCTACATACTCTATCAAATGCTTGTTTAAAATCTATGAACATCTGATGAAGCTCACGATCAAACTCCCAGCATTTTTCCATTATCTGTTTTATTGTGAATATCTGGTCAATTGTAGAGCGGCCCGGTCTAAATCCGCATTGATAATCTCCGACAATGGACAGGACTGAATTTTGAACAGCTAATAAGAACAGCTGATGATAGAGAAGAGTTTAAAATTGTAGTAGCCAACCTCCATTGAGGAGGGGGCACTTTAAGAAGAAGAATTCAAGGCCATAAAATGTTGAAATAAATGAGTACGAATTATTAATACGAAAATTTGAAAGTTAAAATATCTAGGACACGTAATAAGGGGCAGAGATATGCAATGCTAAGATTGATAATACAAGAAAAGATAGAAGTAGGGAGGAGTGTGAGAAGGAGTTCAATATTCGCACAACTCTTTAGATCAGCAGTAGATAGAATAAAGATCGTGATGATTATATGGAACCTTCGACTTTGAGATGGCTTTAAATGAAGAAGAAGATTCGTACATTAAAAGTAGAGGAATTGGTACATCTTAACTATGCAAAGATATCTGAGAGAACGAGAACAGATTTCAATGAAGAGATGCATCAATAGTCATAAAAGAAACACCTGACAAAAAAAGTAATGTATAGTATGTACGTAAACAGAACGTACCACTCAGGGAGGAAATCCTCGTTATCCATTTGTGTTGACACGGATTCCTTGATGGGTAAGGGGTCCAGGTTTTATTAGGATTTCGTCTTCCCATGCAGGCCAACCGGATATTCCGTAAAGGAAGGGTTTGGACACTGTTGTAGCCGGCAAGGGTCGGAACGGCCGTTTTACTAGCAAACTGAAAGTACTGCAGTTGACCGCCCCCTCTCGTAAAATAGGGCATTTGAACTTTTTTAGACCAGAGTGCCTCACTTCCACCCCCCTGTGCCAAAGAAAGTGCTAAGAGGGTGGTGGTGAAAGTTCTCTGGTGAGGTCATAACTAATACTCTCTTAAAATCCCTCTCTTATAAACACCTGGTCATCAATACTGAAAGAAGAAGTCCGTAATAGGAATATACAAACATTTACGAGCTAATAGAAGATCATAGACAGATTATCTATCCACTAGGAAAATGAAATTCCTGTAGTTATCTGTATACCAAGAATTACAAAAGTTTCATTTAAAAATCCTTTAGTGATTAAAACATCTAGGAATAGTAGTGGGTTATTATATTCCTTTACCATGGTAAACGAATATAATAACACACTAGTAGAATTTACCAGTAGAAATGTCAAAATGAGTATTTCTTTCATCGTTTAGTAGGTTTAACTGAAAATTGTTCACATATGTAACAATGTGTAAACATATTTTCGATTCTACGACCTAATGGAGTAATTTTTTTTATTCCCATATGTAATTATGTGCATTAAAATCTCCTACTATTAGACGAGGTGAAGGTATTTGTTTAATAAAATCTGAGATTTCATTATTGTTTGGGTTTTGTGTAGGTGGAATGTATATATTACATATATTCATTTTTAAAGGTCCTTTGATAGTAATTGCGACCGCTTCAAGTTGTGTATTGATTTGAAGAATATCTGCATCGATGGATGAATGAGTGTAAATTGCTACGCCATCACTAGCATGGTCTACATTTTCTCTATTTTTATAGGTACATGAAAAGTGTTTTAAATTGTAAACTTTTTTTTTAATGAGTTTTCTGTAAACATAGTATGCATGGAGTAAGTTTTTTAATCATTTGTTGTAATATCTCAAGGCGAGTGTAATACCCTAGTAGGCTCCACTGGATAATTAAAAAATTACAAATTTGGATATATTAAAAAAGGAAAAAAGGAAATTGGTAAGTTAAAAGTTGCAAATAAAAGACATAGTTATTTTACATCGTATACTATAAGTACACTAATTTTAATTAAATATTTATACATAGTATATACAAAATATTTGTTATAAATTATCCTTCTTTAAAATTACAATAACAATTTTCGAGATTTGGACGATTTCAGCGATGAAACTTCTGTGCCAATTAGAAAAATCATTATTACTTATAATAATCTTAAAGTTGATGCTATATTACTAAAGTATTAAAACATCCGGAGTTAGAATATGAGTGGTTAGCATATAGATAATAATCATAAGAGGAAAAATTGTAATTGTTGTATTTGACAAAATTTAAAAAAATATGTAAAAAATTTGAAATTTACGAGACATTTACATTATAAAACAAAACCAAGAGACATAGAAATCCCAACACCCATTATAAATTACCTTATTTTATTTGAAATATACTTCAATGATCCAAGAATTAGCGAAAGTTTGATCTTGGGGAGGAACTGAACCATTTGTCAAGCAGAGATTTATACGATACTACAATGTACAAAAGAAAATGATGAGAGAGCTTTTCAAAAAAGGAGCTATATATTGTCTGTCAGTAAAGCGGCACTGAAAGCACAAGCGCAGCAGGAAGTGATGTCTAGACTGGTGTTGGACTGTATCAAAGAACTGAATAAACTAAGGAACCTCAACAAGGTTGAGCTTGTCTGGATACCATGACATGAAGGCGTGAAGGCAACGAAAAAGCAGATCAACTTGCAACAAGAGAAACAAATAAAGACAAATCAAGACAAACGAAACTGTAACTCTGGAAGTACCAAAGGCTGCAGTTCGTAGGGCTGTAAAGCAACGGATCAATTAATCTCAAAACAAACACATAGACAAATCTCTATTGGTGGATCATGTAGAAAAAGAACAAAAGAAGTGCTTCATTTTGGCAGGAACAAACTAAGAACACACGCATAAAAATATACCAGATACCTTCCTGGACAGTTTCTTTACCAATAGTTGACCTTTCCTTACTTAATCATGATAAACATTCACACATTTCTGCTGAGGTCAGGCTTTAGTATCATGCAAATGTACTTAAATATTCCACTTACAAAATGTTCTACACTGATGCCTACAAAGATTGCAACGGAGTAGCAGCTGCTCCTGTATCAGAAAACGTAATTTCTCTCACTAGATTAACTGACGGCTGTAGTATTTATACCGCAGAGCTCCAAGCAATACTTGAGGCACTAAATCATTGTAAAGCCACAAATGAAAAACAAATACTAATATTATAAGATTCATTAAATTCTTTACAGGCCATTAAACATATTTATCCTACACACATCAATATATTCCTAATTAAAGACGCGTTTTAACAGCTCCAATTTTCTGGGAAAACCATATCATTTATGTGGGTCCCATCCCATGTCGAAATAACTGGTAATGAGCTAGTAGACAAAACAGCGTTTGAAGCAATAATGTGAACATTCCGACTACAACAGTTATATCAATATCAGATACTAAAACTTTATTCAAGACTCATGTAAATGAAATCTGGCAAGAAATATGAGATCAAACAAACACAAATCTTAAAAGCATCAAACTAGACGTATCTTCAAAAAATCTTCCTATACCACCAAAACGAAAAGACCGGGTATTTATCAGCAGAGTCTGGCTTGGTCATACACGACTTACGCACGGCTAAATAATCTCCAAAGAATCACTACCAATGTGCCAAAGATACCAAACACCTTCCACAGTCAACCATATAATAATAGATTGTCCAAAGTACACCTCAGCCAAGGCGATATTCAAGATACCCAACAGCATGACTTCTAAAATGTATCTTATTTTCTCTATTTGTATCATAATCCTACCGCTAATAACCCTAGTGGTTAAAAAAAACAAGAACAGTAACAGTAATGTTAACCTCATAGGAACCAGTAAGAAAATTCTTGAATAGCATAGGTATTTACAATGGAAACCTTAACTGCCGACTCTGTGGTAAGGAACTAGAAACTGTACATGTATTTTGTGATTGCCAGACCGATTGGACCGTCAAAGACAAAAACTGTATGGACAACCAAGGGGAGGCCCTGGTATATTTAGGACACACCAACCAAAAGATATGTACAAATTTCTACAGGGTAAAAAGTTTTAGAGTGGGTGTAGACAACAACAATGGGCAGCAAACACAATAAGCATCAGCTTTAGTGATAATGCAGATCTATTGGATCAGACGGACTCAGGGAGAAAAAAAAAACTGATGTGCAGTAAAAACACTTAGTAATAGTAGATTAGATTTTCCGATTCCGGATTCCGGATATTGCGATCGAGCCTTTTACATCAGAATTAAGAGGACTGTAATAAGTAGAAAGATAAAGAAGCTATTAATAAACAACTTATAAAATGACTAGATAACTTACACCTAATTTGGATAGCAATATATTATATATTCTCCTCTCCGTATGTTTTATATAATACATGATTTGGTAACAATTGAAATATTTGGTCATTACATTTTAAAATATGTACACTGCAATAAATAAATTTCGACACCAATCAAATGCTAACAGCTTTTATCAGTAACTAAAATGTTTTCTTAATATTTTACAAAATAATACCGATATTAAAAAATTATCCATTTAAATAAGTGGTCTATTGGACCGTTACTTGATGGAAATTCATTTTATTTAACAATAAAACACTAAAAACTTTTGTTTTCCAAACTTCCACAAAATTATATCTTATTACTACAACTGTTTCGGCGGAGTGCTTTTCTCAAGTGCCAAACAACAAGAAAAAAAAAAAAAAAAGAAAAAGCACTTATACAGTGGAGTATACAAACTTGTCTATGGCGACTGTCCAAAAACTTATATCGGTCAAACTAGTAGAACTTTTAACAAACGTATAGCAGAACATTTAATGGCTTTCAACAATAGAAAAACAGATTCTACGTACGTACTTAACTTGACGATGAATGACCCACTTGAGACAAACAGTTCTATTCTCCTTAACCTCAGTTAAAGACTATAAAGTGTAAACGCATACCAAAAATAGATCACTTGAGTAAGGCAATCCGCCGAAACAGCAGTAGGGATACAATTTTTTAATAAATTTTATAAAAATTTTGAAAACAAAAGTTTTCAGTGTATTATTGTTACATAAATACTCTATTTATTACAATGTACAAGTCAACATTTTTGCTTAAAGTCTAAATCGTTATTCCTAATTCGGTCGCACATTCTCTTATCCATGGCATAAAGCTTGACACTCTTGTGTATACACCAGGTTTGTTCTTCTTCGCACAACCTTCTCCCCATGATACTATTCCCGCTAGTTCCATTTTCCCATCTTTTTCGCAAACTAACGGACCACCAGAATCACCACTGCAAGCATCGATTCCTCCTTTTAAGTAGCCTGCACACAACATAGAATCTAGGATCTGTTGAGACCGGCCTCCATAAATAGCTTTCAACCTATTAAAAGAAAAAGAGATTAGATTATTATACTCACTGTAATAAGTTCAAGGTAAAGCAACTGAGGACATGACACAGGTCAGCAGCTGTAGCATTTGTAGCCCATGGCTGAGGAATACAATTCCGGACAGGTGCGGTACCACAAAATCGCAGGCAAAAATCAAATAAATCAATATAAGGTTGAATGTTCGAATAAATGAACTTTGATGGTACACAAGGCAAATATCTAACACAGTAGTTAATCAAATCTTGCCCAAGTACTTTCGATCACAAGATCATCCTCAGGGGCATTTCGTCAGTTGTGGCCTAACCAGCAGTAACAGAATGTCATAAATGTAAATTGGGACATAACAAATACACTAAACAAAGACAAACAAACACTTTAAAATTTAAAAATTGGAGAAGCTACATTTTATATAGAAGCCGGAGACAGAATTCTGTCTCCGGCTGAAGTCACCGTTTCAGCTGTTTTGCTGAACGGCCAGTTGTTCTTTCTTTTTAGTGACCGTTATTGACAGGATTTACTGTAATTCCTTATAAATAAAAAACATTTAAAATTAAACTGACCTGCAGGTATCTAACGATATTACTGGTACCGCCGCAACTTTCAAAACCGGAGAGCTCGTATCAATATCATTAGGATCCACAGCTCCCCATCCAGACACTTCACACCAAGTACCCGATGGAGGTGAATCATCAGAGAAACAAGCTGGCTTGACATACTCGTCGAAACTAAATCCTGGAGCTTCTACTATGAGTAACGCTAGATCATGAGAGTAAGCACCGAGCTTCCTGAAATCTGGATGTGGAATGAATTTTTCCACTCGAAGGGATTGTTCGTTTGTAGAAGATCCTAAAACATTAGCAATAAATATTAACATTTTATATGACATATGTAGCTAAAAGAGAAATTCCAAATATAAAATTCTGTTAATTTTATAAACATTCTCTGGTATATATAAAGAAAAATTAAACAAAAAGTAAATATTACTTTTGGTATTAAAGTACATTGGTAGAAAAAATAACATGTATTGAGAACCAACTAGTCCCTACAATAAGAAAATAAATTTATATTTAACCACAAATAATACAAAATTGATAAAAATATTTTTTAAACATACTCTTCTAATAAAATTCCACCGTCTTTATCATCTCTGAGTGAGAAAAAGTAACTAAAATTAGAAAAATCAATTAATGTTTTATACTATTGGGCTTCTGCTACGTTAGCCAAACTGATGCTTTTTAACAATTATAATTTGCTTACAAGTGGCTAAAAGGGAGGACTGAATAATTCCTGGGCTTGGATATAAGGTAAGCAAAAAAATTTATACGTTCTTTAACGGCTACTTGTGTTTTGGCTGGAGAGCTAGGTCGTCGATAAGAACTTTTTTGGGGACTGGGAGAACTAACTACAAAAAAGATGTCAAGAAATTCTTACAAAAATGTCCTGGGAAAATACTAAACAAGAAGATTTCTAAACTATTTTCTAGGTTTGTTACCTTAGATTTAAACAAAAAACATTGTCCCACAAACTTCAAACAATCAAAATCGGACCTTTGAAAGGCACAAAATTAAGCCTGCGGCTGGACAAATCCTTATATGTGATTCTTTAAACTCCGCTGCTTATTGTTCACTTAAAACCATATCGGCTTACTTAGCCCTCAGATACTGTAATCAAATCCCTTGTCACAGGATACAGTTTACAACAAACGGTGATTATCTCGTATTACAAAGATTGTCACAGCATTTTCGCTTAAATCACCTTCTTCTCACCAAAACAAAAACATTTGCCGGTTACTACTTAATCGCTGCCATTTTTCTCTTCTTTAGACCACCACACTCACTTGTTGCACCTGTCAAAAATCGTACAATCTCGTACCAGATTTTACTCGCAGCCAATCGGGTCTCTCTTCTGCGATGCAACCTTAAAGATGCTGGGTCTTCAAATTTTTGTGGAAAATTAAAATGCGATTAACGCGAGGCCGTATTTGACAATTACGTCGTGAATATGTTTTCAGATGATGTCACAGTATCCCAAAAATACAGATTTAACGTTTTACATTTATTGGATGACTTCACAAATAGCAACTTAAGTCAGGTTGAGATGCGTACTACATTTTTGTCGAAGTCGGCGATGATTTACTCATTGATTTTATTGTCTATTTACAATTCGCTTTAATATATGATTTATGTTATTTACACAAGGTCACGTATGTGTAAATATGCACTCTATTTTTATAATAGCTCTACTTTCATGTTTGTCAATATTTGACGGCTTGAGTGAATAAAGGAGGTAACTAACATTTTTTGAAAAATGGAGTTTTATACACGGTTAAAAGTGACAAGTGACAATCTAACATATAGGACCAACTTTAATGCAAAAATATAAAGAAACAGAAAATTTTTTAAGTCATAAAAGGGGTTAAAGACATTATTTTAATTAAAGCAAAAGAATAAAAAAGGTAACTGCAGTATAGGCGAGCGGTTTACCCCTGAAAGCACAGCATAAATCGACTTATTTTTTTTTCATTTCTACTGCATGAAACCTTTTTTGCTCGATTTTATATATTTTTAAGTTCAAATGTACTTTTTTAAATTTTTCCAGGGAACCGGAAATTGTTGTTAAAGAAATTATAATAAACAAACAATTTCTCGAATCGTTATGAGTAAAATTTTTTAGGCGTTTCGCATCGAAATAAATAAGTACTTTTTCTATATTCATAATTTTTCGAAAAACATTTAGAAAGAATATCTTGATTTTTGGCTGCTCTTACTATGCCTTTATCTAAAGTTCCCAACCAATTGACAGACATACAGCCAATTAAAATGTTTGGTCCACGAAATTTTTGATTTAGTTCAAATGTAACGATTCCTTGGTGAGTTTCCGTCAACAATGGTTTTGCTTTGCCTACTCAAAAATTTATATCGCATAGAAGCACCTATCAAACAAACCTTAAAACCCTAAAAACTAAAACCACTTTTGTGGCTATATTTATGACAGAATTCTCTGGACACATTAAATTCCAGTTTCTCTATTCTACTCAATACTTGTTTCGCGCAGTGTATTTTTTCTTCTCGACTTACATATTCTAATTAAATGCCTTTCACTTTTTAGCTTTTAGACTGCCAGAGCTTCTGCGATATTAAGATATAGTGGATATACTTAATATCGCAGATATTAAATCAACTCTTTTAAGATAAAAAAATCAAGTTTATGAAAATTAGCAAAAATAACAATACACTTCATCTAATTTATATAACGATGCACGTCATCGGCGTCATAGCTTGTGACGTCATGTGATACCAATACGAAATATTTAGGGTTTAGGTGTGTTCTTTTTAGAATCACTTTACCGAGTACACTGGCATTACAGTCACTAGACATATTTTATTATGTATGCGTAGAAATAATATTTAAAAATTTCTATTAATGTTAACTTAAAGAAATACACAATAATATGTTTCATTTAATTTGTATAAATCCATTATAAAGAGTTTTTATCAAGAACATTTGTTCAGAACACACTGTAACTGTAAACGAACGAAGGTAAAATTTTGGCATAAATTGGTAACACTTATTTGACAGTTGCGGTGTTGACACTTTTTGTACTTTATTATTTTGAATTTTAAGGTGAATACCTCTTGTTTTATATTTTTACCGATTTAATAAAATCTGTTCTTTTTAGAACAAAATTAGTGTGTTTTATTTCAAAAATGGCACGTAAGAATTTAAATAGTCGTTGTAAAGAGATGGTAATACTTTTGCAATAATTATGTGACCTATTTGATTTAAAATGGAGTCAGGATTTTTTTATACTTTGGCAACTATGTCAACTTCGATCTCTGACGTAGATAATGACATAAGTCGTTATCTAAATTAGATGAAGTATATAAACAAAATATTAACGGTAAGCGGCCAGCAAATTGAGAGAGCAAAAAGATATACTTACTTGGGAACGGTAATCACAGAAAGTATCGATTATACTGCACAAGTAAGAGTCAGAATTGAAAAAGCACGTGTCAACTTTGTGAAAATGAAAAAGATTTGAAAATGAAAAAAAGAGTGGAAAGAACACATTAATGAAATAGCAGAGGATAGTATAGTACGAATAGCACGAGATAAATCACAAAATGGACGAAGAAGTATTGGCAGACCAAGAAAAAGATGGTGCGACAATTTAAACATTTTGAAGGCTAATATTGAAAAAGAAACATTCTTTAAAGCCTACATACAAGAAGGAAGAAGAAAAAGAAGAATAATAGAGAAATTGCCTAGCGATTGAAAAACGTAAATTATTTGCTCGATCTACAAATAGTCGAAAGCTTAAATGTTGTAATTAATCATCGTCATATTCGCTCCGTGCGTGACCATGGTAGGGGTACATTGAAACGATGCCAGCGTGCGTAGCGGCGAAATATGACAAAATTGGAATATTGGACAAAATATTTTTACGCATAAGTTTTATCAAAACTGGGTGCAAATACATGTTGCGTATTTAATTCTGCAATAATAGCAAAAACAGTGAGTGTAGTTTTTATAGGTTCCCAAAGATTACATATAAATTAGGGAAAAGAAAAAGATGAATTCGTGCTATTAATATGAAAAAGTAAATATCACATAATTTCATTTTTATGCAATTGAAAGAGGAAAAATTTAAATAATTTACCTTGAATGATATTTCATAAGGCTTCAAGCGAGCTGCAGATGACTTTAGCTTTTATATCATAACTTTTACTATTATTGTTTTTAATTATATGCTCTTTTGCGTGAAAAACTTGATTTGCCAGTACTAGATTTTTCCCTTTCTTTTCCGTTTGGAGTTGAAAAGATATATTATGATGAATTTTGAGAAACTCAGTTTTTAATACTACATTTATTTTATACATAAACTGAAAAAATATAGTTAAAAAACTAATTTATTAAAAATTGTCAATTTCGCATGTATTTAACAATGTCAAACATATGTCATATATTTAACCTGACAATTGGGACTCCAAAATTGTCAGATGAAGGCAGTAGGTGTCGCATCAGTCACGCACGGAGCGAATAAGCTAATATAAGCTAATAGCTTATAACATAAATCAATAAAATTTTCTCAATAAGCTACTTTAACCGTTAAGTAAAAATATTATTGCGGAATATAAAACCAGCTTTCGGGAAGGGAGTTAAACTAAGTATAGATTCACTTTTCACTGTGAAACAAATTTTAAAGAAATTTGTGGAATACAGTATTGATGTTTATAATATAACCCTTCGAAATATACCCAACTAGTTAGAAAAAAAAAACGTTAAAAGAGTGAATTCAGTTGAAGCAATAAAAAGTTTTACACATCTATGAGTAAAATTAAATACGGATGAAACTGAAGATCCAGTAATTCAAAAAAGAGTGATGAATCTCAACAAAGCCTATTTCTAGCCGACTCACATATTCCGTACTCCAAAACCGTACAAAAGAAAATAAAGATTGAGTGTGAAATACGGATGATAACCCATATATGAAAATTTAAACTTATCAAAAGGAAAATTTTAAGAAATATCATTAAACTTATCACTGAAAACAGATATAAGATCTAAAGATAATCATGAACTTTATCAAATATTCTTAGAAACATCTATCTTAGGATTCAATAGGCTCCTGAGACTTTAATGAACTGGAAATGTAGTAAAGATATATGAGGACATTACTCAGAAGGACCAGAACGGAGGTCATGAAGAAGTCGGAAGAGCGAAGTGGAAGTAAATAGTAAAATTTGCTTAAAAGCTTGGTAGTATTAAGATAAAGAGGATACATTTTTTTATATATTAAAGAAGAGATTATCTACAATTATCTACATATTTCTGAATACGAAAACCAAAGTGATCAGATTAAAATATTAAAAATCAAAAATAAGCATAAGCATTCCTACTATTATTAAAAGTGAAACAATTAAAGAATCAAGTTAATTGTCTTTTTTGTACTTACCAGGAGTTCCATGCGCACCAGCTATAGCTCTTAATCCATCGTTATAACAATGCGCTGCAGACAAAACTAATCTCTTACTAATTAAAGCACCACCACAATAATGCTTATTATCTTCCAGTCTCAAGTCTATCTGCCATGGAATCGCTCCAGGCGGTGGAACTTGTCCACCAATCACCTTTGGCTGCCGATTTGGTTTCCATTGAATGTTTCGCGTTCCACAAACACTATTTAGACTGCGACTAAAAGATTCGAGAGCAATTGAAACGGGGGGATTCGGATGTCTATTTCGGGCGTACCGCACAGCACGAGTAACTGCGACTGACAAAAAGAAACAAACGAAGGCGCACAGAAGTTTCATCGCTGACAGAACTTGAAGTTTGGGTGGTTGGTATCTTTTTATGGCTTGGTCCGGTCCCACTCTACCGCCAAAATTCAATGTTATTGTTGTGATAATTGAGAAGTTCATGTTCATTTTGATGCACTTGCATCTTTTAACGTATGGCGCTGGAGCTACATCGTTTCGCGTACATTTTATAAAATTTATGAGACTAGAGTTTAGAGTAAATACACTCTGCCAAAAAAGTGTCACATCACCTATGAAACCCAGAATTTTTTACTGTTGTTTTTGTTTTTTTTTTAAGTACGTAATAAGTATTAAAAGAAAAATGCAGAATGTACGAAAAACAAAGGTTTTATTTAATTTATTTCACAAATTAGAAGTAAGCGCATAAACAGCATTGATTAACAAAAAAATAAAAATCAAAAGTAATGATAATTTCGTAAGACGTATTGCCTCCTCAAGCTCTTATAACATCTAGACAACGTTGTGCATACTTCAAATAATCTTCTCAGATAGTCTTGATCGATATTATCTCATTCCACGTTTAATAACCTTTGCAGGTACTGAAGATGAGCTGGCGTCACATTACCAAATCTCACCCTTCTGTAAAGATGGCCCCAAACATGTTCTATTGGATTTAAGTCCGGGCTATGCACTGGTCAATTTAAAACTTGTAAATTCACCTCTTGAAGGTACTCGGTAACAATTGTTGTGACGGGTGGGCGTGCATTGTCATGCATTAAAACATAGTCATTGCCAATAAATGGGGCGTAAGGAACAACATGCATCTCCAAAATTTCTCTAATGTACCTATCAACAGTTATGGATCCTCTATCTAGCTGTACCAATTCGGTTTGACCCCTAAGAGATACTCCGGCCCAGAGAATAATAGATCCTCCTCCAAAGTTTGTCGCTGGTCTTAGGTTGCATTGAAAATACAACATACACCACTGGTAAACTTCTCCTGAATTTTTCCAACCGTCAGTCTATCTCTGCAGCAATCAATTTTACAACTGTTGAGGTTTATAGCAGACACATCAGAGATAGGTTAGGTAGAGGGACACGTGCGCAACCAGTGCTTATCAGAAATAGCGGTCAATTTAGTGCGACTGGTGTACTGAGTACACCGTAGCCCGTAGTTAAAGGTTAAATTTAAATTTATATTGTCACAACCTTCCCTACTTAATATTTAATAGGAAATTTTAAATTAAACGCAAATTGCATACTTTTTACAAAAGTAAAATAAAGACTGATAATATAAAAACCAGACAAAATAGCAATTAACATTTTGTTTTCTTAAACAGTAAACTGTATTTACAAATTTCTTTTAATCTTTATTCTAGCCTTAATATTCTTAAACGCCAAACGCCTTAAATTTAAATTAACCAAATGCTGTCAGAAATATTGTAATTTTATAAGTGATACAATACTTTTTTGGCGGAGTATACTTATTCTAACATTTACATGACGACAAAATTTTAAGTTTATTTATTTAATAGATGGTTAACTGAAGTTGAAAATCTTAATTTTCTGAGATCTATCTGGAGCCTTTCACTAAGTCAATCACAAAATACTTAATAAACTGGAAAGATATGGTTTTATAGGCACTGCTCTAAAGTGGTTCAATTCTTATTTGGAAGACAGATGCCAGTCTGTATCAATCAATGAGAGCTTATCTGGTAATATCTTTATTAATTTATGGAGTATCTCAAGGCTCTGTCTTGGGTCCTATCTTTTTCTTGATATATTTTAACGATATAACTAACCTCGACATTAATGGCTGGTTTACTATCTTTGCAGATGACACCACAATTTTATGGCAAAACAAGGACTCTACGCTACTAAACAAGATTATTAGTACTGATATGCTAAAAATTTTGGAGTGGTGCAAAACCTATTATTTTACATTTAATTTTTCAAAAATCAACTTAATTTATTTTAAAAACGATCTAAATAACAGTACTCTGGACAATGAAAGATTTGTTCTGACTCTGACATTTGGTATCCTTTTTTAGTTCTTATTTTTTAAATTATTTTAGGTTGAACAGTAGAGTACTGAGGAAATCTCCTTGTCATATCTTACTGCCAGCTTCAATAGGGTCAATTAGTTCCTCTTCTTCTTTTACTTTTTTTTGTGTTGTTTTGGTAGATGTTTTCGATGATTTTAATTATTCCTAAAGGTATATCTATTGCGTATAATTGGATCTTCTTCTTTAGGTTCCGCTCCTATCGGATATTGGAAATCATTCTGGCAATTATAATGTTGTTGGTTACGCGCTGGAATAGTTCAATTGAACTGCATCCAAACCATTCACGGAGATTGCGTAGCCACGAGATTTTACATCTTCCTACGCTTCTTCTGTCTTTAATTTTACCTTGCATTATATTCCTTAGTAGATCGTATTTTTTAACTCTCATGATGAGCCCCAAGTATTCCAATTTCCTGATTTTAATGAAATTTAAAACTTCGCATTGTTTTCCTAAAAATTCGAGAACTTGTTCGTTTGTTTTGCGATCTATCCATGATATTTTTAAAATACGTTGGTAACACCACATTTCGAATGCTTATAGATTTTTAATTTTGGATTTTTTAAGTGTCGACACTTCAACCCCATACAAAAGGGTAGAGAAAATATAACATCTAATCATTCTTATCCGGAGCGATATATTGATATCGCGATTACAAAAAGTTTTCTTATTCTATTAAATTTGATCGTGCAATTTCGATGCGGCATCTTATTTCTTTTGTCTGATCAGCATCTTTTGTGATCCATGCTCCAAGGTATTTGTAAGAAGATAGTAAAGTTCAATTTGTGTGTTATCTAGTACTAGCTTAATTCTAATGTTTTGTGCTTTTGTAAATACCATTCACTTGGTTTTCTTTAAATTTATTTTTAGTCCATAACCGTTGCAATATATATTTAGTTGTTCAGTAGGGTGTTGCAGTTCTTCTAGTATTCCTTCCAGAAGGACGGTGTCGTCAGCATATCTTATGTTATTCAGTGACTCACCGTTCATTATAAGGCCCTCACTTGTATGTGATGGCTTCAGTGTATAAATTGAATAACAAGGGTGATAAAATACACCCTTGGCGGACCCACGGCGAATCTGGATATCCTCGGTCAGTTTATTTTCATCTTTCACTTTTGCTGTTTGATTCCAATAGAGGTTACATAGGATTTTAATATCTCTACTGTCTATGTTTTTATTTAATAAAATTTCTTTAAGCCGATTATGCTTCATTCTGTCAAAGCCTTCTCAAAATCAATGAAACAGGCATATACTTCCTGATTTATATCTAAGCATCTCTGCGAAAGAACACTTACTGTAAACAGTAAATCTCGTATTCCCAGTCCTTTCCTAAATCCTATTTGTGTATTACTTATGCCTTCAGCTGATTTCTTATGTATTCTATTGTAAATTACTTTTAAAAACAATTTTAAGACATGACTCATTGGATAACCTCCTTTAATTTGACTCAGTCAAATGCTGTGTTAAGGTCCACGAAACATAAATATGCCGGTTTGTAGTATTTTAAGGATTTCTCTTGCACTTGCCTCTTTATATATAAAAACAAAAAAGGAAAACAACGGAAAAATATCAAATGAAACAGCTCCAAGATAAAAAATATCAAAAAGAACAAAGAAAAAAATAAAAAAGAGATTGAAAGAATCATGACGGGAAACATAGACGAGGAATGGGAACAAATACAAACAGTCATGATAGGAGCTGCAGTCCTTAGCATTGTGAAAGCAGAAAAAAAAAGAGGGAACACTTGTTTGATGACTGCAAAAAAATATTGGAAACAATACAAAAAAGGAAAGAGCATTATAAAACCAGAAGAAAAGAAGTTTAATGATTATTCAGATAAAATAAGAGAATATAACTGGAAAAAATCACTAGAAATATTAGACGATTATTTCTAGTTTTGTGTTTCTAGATTTAGAAGTTATTCTTCAGATCTACAGTTTACTTCAAATATTAACAAGAAGTCTTTTCCTATTTTCTTAATCATTAGCTTAGCGTTTATGATTTTAATGGCATATTCAACTGTTTTATACCAATTATGACCCAGTCTTCCTCTTCTCCTTCGTTGAGCTAGCTGGCTCTCACTTTTAAATTTTCAGAAGCCATCGATCTTTTGCCATACTTTTAAGTGGCGATATCACCGTAGACTTTTTGCTTCTTTGGTATCTGTTCTATCTATATCAACCTTGTTCCCTTTTTTGTAATCTCCCACACTGTGTCTTCTTTTTCTTACGGTGCCTATCTGTTCCGGATGTTAGCGATCAGCATAGCTATCCTAACTTTACTTGCAGCTATTCGGAATTGTCAGATTGTAGACGTGTTGAACCACTTCCTTAGGTTTTAAAGCCAAGTTATTCTTCTTCTCCCTGGTCCCCTCTCTACAAGTAACTTGTCCTGAAGAATAAGTTGCAATAAGCCATATCTGTGTTCATTTGTGACAAGCCAAGGTATTCTAATTTACAGACAGACTGGATGCAGTTGTTTAATTGCAACTTTTACAAGTGCTATCCTATTTCAAAAGTCCTCATCGCTGTCCCCACTTTTCTGAAATTATGATCCTAGACATTTCTATTTGTGGCAAGCCTTTTACCATAATTGAGTTTTTATTATTAAATCTACTGTTTTTGCCTACTACTCAATACTCCGCTTCAAACATGGTTTCAAATTAAATCACTTCCTCACGCCGCTTGAAATGCTTAAAGGATTCCCCAAACCAACGCGAAACTTTCGCAGCCGCAACCTACGCGGAATCGCGGCGAATCGTAAGGCACGGCGTCTTATGCAGGTGTTCAGACAAGTTGGGGCGGAATCCGCAATGGTCGCGGCAGATTTTTTCCGCTGCAGTTATAGTTTCGCGTGAATTAAAATGGCTGTTACAGAAAAACTAATTGCAATTGTGAAACAATATCCTATACTTTATGATTTAAGGGACGAAGATTATAAACATATAAGAAAAAAGTTTCATTGGAGTTTAAAAAAAATGGAGTTTCAACAAGAACAAGAAGTAGCTGGCTTTTGCACTTCCAATTGAAATACTTGATGTTTTTCTCGGAGTAATACACAGTTAATACCAATACTTTCCCCTATATGTGTCGATACTAACA